CAGTTCTCACAGCTTGTCTGTTGAAGGAGTGTTTGATTTATACTTCATGAACGGTTCTCACAGCTTGTCTGTGCAAGGAGTGTTTGGTGTATACTTCAAGAATGGTTCTCACAACTTGTCTGTTGAAGGAGTGTTTGGTGTATACTTCAAGAACGGTTCTCACAGCTTGTCTGTGCAAGGAGTGTTTGGTGTATACTTCAAAAATGGTTCTCACAGCTTGTCTTTTGAAGGAGTGTTTGGTGTATACTTCAAGAACAGTTCTCACAGCTTGTCTTTTGAAGGAGTGTTTGGTGTATACTTCAAGAACAGTTCTCACAGCTTGTCTGTGCAAGGAGTGTTTGGTGTATACTTCAAGAGCGGTTCTCACAACTTGTCCTCGCAAGGAGTGTTTGGTGTATACTTCAAGAACGGTTCTCACAACTTGTCTGTGCAAGGAGTGTTTGATGTATACTTCAAGAATGGTTCTCACAACTTGTCCGTGCAAGGAGTGTTTGGTGTATACTTCAAGAACGGTTCTCACAGCTTGTCTGTGCAAGGAGTGTTTGGTGTATACTTCAAGAACGGTTCTCACAGCTTGTCTGTGCAACGAGTGTTTGATGTATACTTCAAGAACGATTCTAACAGCTTGCAGAACAAGGAGCAAATTGACTGATAGTTTTATTCTAATTACATGTGTTGCTACGAGACGAGAACGTTACAGGAAATAATAGTACCTGATTATTCTGCTGCCTTGTGGAATCGGGGAGACGACATGTTGCTGGTATGTTCTATATTTGTAAATTATATGAAAGGCAAATACCAACAACTGTACACTTCATTCTAGAACGACATAGTGTGATCATCGATTCTGATTGGCCGAGAGCTCATTACAACCGTACTTAAATGGCGGATAAGGACCGCTAATTAAAGTGAGTGAGTGAATTAAGATGGACTGAATTATTTTATAAAATTCAATAATTATATGATAATTTACATTATTAAAAAGATCTTTGACCATTTTAACACTGAAGTATTTATCCCTTGTGATGGAAATATCAACACAGTCAAGCAGGACATGCTTGACCGTGATTCCTTCATCACAAGTGCAATAAAATTCTGTTCTGATCTGCTAATTAAAGTGATCGATGATAACTGGGCACTAAAACTAACAGAGTTTCTTCTCATAAAACACTGATTCGTCAGTAGCGCAAATGCGGCAGTATTCCGCCATACTTCAAACCGGGTCTAGAGGGCATGACATCGAGAACACACGTTCTAACCTGTCCGTTTCCTTACGGGTCATAATGCATAGGACTTCCACTTCCACTGACCATGTTTCTAGCATAACAGCTGGCATGTCAGTTCTTTTCCGAATTGGGAATCGTAGCATGGTTATGTATAGGTTAATCACCCTCACAAGATAGTTATTTAAAATAAACTCTGCGAGGGCAGTGCCCGAGCAGAGTTTATTAAATAACTACCGTAGGGAAGGTGATCAAACGGCTTACACCATGAGGGCATTCACATTTAATACGCGTGTAATGTATAAGGGATGATGAAGATGATCAAAATACGTACAATTTTATGTTTTTTAAGTAGAAATAATTGCCCTAGGTCAGTTAATCAGTGCCCTAGGTCAGTTGATCGGTTATGCTAATAAAACACTTCCAAGAACAATGGACATAACTTTCTCTAGTGGTTTAACAACAATTACTTCCGTGATTGAAGTAAGTGGCGACTAAACTAAGCGAGTTTGCTGCTTGATTTGGGATATATAATTCGGTTGAGAAAAATCAAATAATTGTACTTGCTCACAGTATAAACAGTATATATCAACTAATCTAGAAAAGAAAAGACACAACACGTGGTATAGAGGTAATCATTTATTTGTTAAGGTCGATAGAATGAATTGAGTATAATCACAATGCCAAAACTCGGTTACACGTGGTTACAGAAGGCGTAAGCAAAGTGTCAAGTCACAAGAAATTAAATCTGATGTTTCAAACGTTCAGTAGAGTGTATGACCACCGCGTGCGTTCACAACTGCCAAACAACGCCTCCTCATGGACTGTCTGATGCGTGTAAACACATTATTGGGAGTCGGCGCCATTGTTCCTGCAAAGCAGCACCAAGATCCTGCAAATTCTACGGTTGATTCCCGAGAGTGCGCCTACATCTACCAAGACCATCCTCGATTGGACTGAGATTAGGTGACCTTGATGGCCAGTCAAGAACGTTGATTCATGTGAAGGTAATTCCTGGTCAAGATAGCTGTATGGGGTCTGGCACTGTCATGATGAAGTGCAGACCTGGACCATGTGCTGCCATGAATGGAATAAGTTCGGGGGCTGGCACCTGGTCGCGGTAAACTGCAGTATTAAGGTCCCCACGGATAACCAGAAGTCGGGAACGGGCAATACCACAGAAATCACCCCAAACCATGACACTTCCGGCCCCAAATCTGTCAACTCAATGTACACAACACTGAGCATAACGTTCATTGCGTCGCCTCCAAACTCTCATCCTACCATCAGCGAATCCGAGGGTAAATCTTGATTCATCACTGAAGACAACTTGATTCCAGTCTCCTGAGTCCATCGGAGGTGTCGTCGGGTCCACAGCAAACGCTGACGAAGATGTAATGGCGTCAAAATGGTTCCGCGATATGGTCGTCGAACACGCAGGTGAGCAGCTCGCAGCCAGTTTCGGATGGTTTGTGTCGACAATCGACCCCTACACAGCTGATTCCTGTAGCTGTCAAAAAACGGTTACGGAGGTGATGTAACACAATTTGACACGTGGTCGACCTGGCCGAGGGCGATCAGCAGTGGTGCCAGGTTGTTGCAGTCAAGTCTGTAAATCCCATTGTCCTTGCAAACGTCACTTACTGACGTTCAAGCTTTCAGCATGGCAACGGCACGTTCACGCTGCACATTTAAGAGGCGCGGCATAAGAATTGGTTGTTCTTCTTTGTGCTTTAAAGTGTTTTTTCACTTTGTACAGTTGATGGGAACATGTGCGATCGAATGTACGTGCAATGATAAGATCACGTGACCAGTGGCACGTGAAAAACACGTTTTAGCACTATTGTGGGGTGCACGATGTCTGGAGTGCCTTCAATGTGCTGTGGTGATTTTTTTTCTTGAGTCGATACTTGGGGATTAATATTATTATACCACAAAACTGTCTACAATAACAATTCACATTTTTATTTACAAATATAAGTTGTGAAGTTTTTATTTTGACTCAGTATATTTATACTACTTATTACAAATACAAGCATACTGGTTCCTCAATTAAGGCATTTATGTCTTATTTTGTTTATTACACAACAAAATTTAGTAGGTGCAGTAACTGAACTCCGTAAAATATTAACCATTCCAATTAAGACCGTTGTAAGGCGCCCAAACCATTCTCTCTGGAAAACTGGATATATTTGTCATTTTTTAAGAAATAACGTTGATAATATTCTCTTAGTTGAAAATGAGGGAAATAGAGATCATCATGTCCGCCCACCCGCTTTGAGTTTCCGGATCAGACCCCTAAACTGGCGGATATGTCTCCATGAAACGTGCAAGTGATCAGTGCAGAGGTGAACTGGTCCTTTTTTCATAGATTGTGATAGTGAAAAATAATTAACATCACTAGTTTGTATTGTTTCACTGAGCTATAAGTGGGTAGCAACTAGCTAAACTCAATTGCCGAATCACACCCATTGCAACATGCAACAGACACGCCATTGCTGCATTATATACTGACGGAAAGATTAAGGGATCACATGAAAGCACAAGTGTCCCCTTATTTTTTTCCAGGTTTCGTGACCCTTGTGATGGTACTGAGCACTATTATTATGATTCTTAACTGGAACAAATGCAAAACTGCTATATCTATTGTACACAGATACACATTATTTTGAAAATTAATTTGATTATGTTTCTGCCAGTGTTGCAGACTACTACCAGGAACAAATAGGGAATAAAATGTCAGTAGCCTGCACTCGTCCATCGTCACAAGTTTCACTCTAGTGCAGACAACTCAAGGTTCTAAGATTTTCATTTTCATTCATTGTTTATGGACGTCTTTAGTTCATTGTTGATGGACGTCTTTAGCTCATAGTTGATAGACGTCGTAACTTCATTGTTTATGGATCTGTTTAGTTCATTGTTTATGGACGTGTTTAGTTCATTGTTTTAAGCAATCATTAGAAACACAGAGAAAGAATGACAGTAAAGGGGAAATGTTATAATACAATATATACAGAGGAAGAAAACTACTGGAATCGTTTTCATTATCTTATATACAGATGTACATTTTTCAATATAATTTCATTTTTATGATTAGTCAGATCTGCAATGGCGTTTAAAAGAACATATATTGTAATCACAGAACTACAATCACAGACATTTTGTATAGCATTAATCACGTTTTTCTATGCTGATTAAACAAAGAATAATATAAGAAATGATAATGATGAGCATGGGTTACCACATGCGCAGGATGGATCAGCCCTACTCTGTAAAGACCTTGACTTAATCTGCTGGCCCTACGGCGTATTTGTGTATGTAGTGTTTTGAGTGTTCTAATACCGCAAGAAAAGTACAGTGGAACTGAGTTATTGGATGTTTGCTCGATATAAATTTTGATAGTGCTGTACAATTTCTTCCAACTGGAGATAAATTGTTTCACAGTCGAATCGTCGATGGGAAAAACAACCCGTGAGGATGTTTAATTCTTGTTCTTGGCAAAGAGAAATTGACCGAATTTCTTAAATTATAATGACTCCTGGAGCCTAAGTACTGAGGGTTTCTTTATTCTGGGTAAGCTTGAAGTTTGATGTTCTGAATATTAGGCCAGTAGAAATCGACGTCAAAATAAAATAACCTAGACATTTGTGATAACAGGCCAATTATTGCAGAATACTGTTCTCTGGTGTCTATTTATCATGTACACAAAACCCAAGAAAAATCTAGAGTGGGGAAATATGTTTTTGGGGGTGTCCAAAAAAGGTCCCAAAACTTTGTTTTCAGCAAACTACACAAAAACAGTTGTAAGAAGATAGCACCGTTGCTATGTAAACAAACAGCTGTCAACTGCCAAGCTCCTGTCAAAGTGGACCAAATCTGGGTATGTATGAATAAAATTGAACACAGAAATTTACCAAATGCATATAAATAACCCTCAGATGCAATATTGACATGTGAAGCATGGACATATATTAAATAAAAATAGAAGAAGGTGACTTTGCAACCACTAAGCAGAAACATGATGACAGTGCCAAACTATCAATGTTATATTCTGCAAGTATGATTTTAACTTACAGTTACAAAGTTACATGCAGTACAAATAATAGCCATATACTGGCAAGTTAATTCTGGGCTAGTTTTTACACACATTAGAGTCAAATCAAAGACTTCAAGATCTTTTTTCATAGTGTTACTATAAATAGACTGCAGCCATCTATGTTTACTTTTCATAATTAGTTGTTTATATTGAATTATAACCTCACTACAAGGTACATAGCACTTATTGATATTATACATCAATTATGCTTGCCTAATTGATTAACATTAGTCCCCAAAAGTAATTATGTTTCAAGTTAATAAAAAGCCGAGGTCAAGGTCAAACACTGCAGAAAATATTTTCTTGACAACAAATTATAGATATGTGTATGTCAAAACCCTTCAGATGTAAATGTACTGTTTTACTTAGAATATCACCTGCAAAAATATTTTTGATAGTGTTATCTTTTATGGAACTATATAATTCAGGAATATTTTACTTATTAGGTGATATTTCAATACATATTTCAAGTGAAAGAGTTTATATTCTCCATTGAAACCCAGTATATCAATGCAGATAGTTTGAGATAATGTTACAAAACTACAAAACATGTGCAACAAACTTGCATGTTAAACAACCAGTAAAGTTTTATGTTTGAAGTTTAGATGAAATATCATTTCATTTCCACTGTTCTTTAAGTGAATATACATAATATGCATTCTATTTATTGATTTTTAAAACAGAAAGTTGTTTGTAATTTACCATGTCAAAATATGCTTATTTGTATTTATTTTTACTCCATGCAGATGTTTTGGGAAAATATCGAGTGTACTATGTATCTCAGTAAGTGAAATATATAAGATGTGAAACAGGTTTATATATATTTTCTAAATAATAATTGGCAACAGAATATGTATTACCATGTCCAAATATGCATATGTTTAATCATAAGTTTAATTGATTTTTTTATTTTCTTTACAGATATGTTTCGATCTCCAACATGACGTGTCATTTGTCACAATGGTTCAGGAGAAGCGAAACTAAGAGGCAAGGGTTTGAACACTCTACTCAAAGAATTAACTCTTTGTAATGATTCTTTACAATCAACTCTTTAATAAAATTTTTTTTAACTTTGTCCATGAAAAATGCAGAAAGTCATACTCAGCATAATCGACCATACTGAAAGCTCACAAAATAGACATCAATGAAAATACCCAGCCATGTGTATTGAGATCAGGGAACAGTACTTTAACAACTACTGACCTCACTGCCTTATTTATGCAAATGGGAGTGATTTGGAAGACCTTCAATACCATCCAGGGGCGGTGGGGTAGCCTAGTGGTTAAAGCGTTGGCTCGTCACGCCGAGGATCCGGGTTCGATTCCCCACATGGGCACAATGTGTTAAGCCCATTTCTGGTGTCCCCCGCCGTGATATTGCTGGAATATTGCTAAAAGCGGCGTAAAACTAAACTCAGTCAGTCAGTCAGTCAATACCATCCAAATAGAAATTCAGCAATCAGCAATATCAATATTTTCAGCAGAGGGAAAAAAGTATTCTGCAAGAGACCGTTCTCAACTTCTGTGAGAGAAGATCTTCGATGATAAGGCAGTTGATGTTCCAGCTGGTAACATTGGTGCAGTTGAGGCAACATAACACAGACATTGCATGGAGTGTTTTTTTGCATGAGCATGAAAGGACAGCAAGGACAAACTCTGAGGATTCAGCAAGAAACATTAAGGACACAGCCTTCAGTTCCTGGTGTGAGCTGCTGCCAGAAAGTATGCAGAATGGAAAGCTGTACACTCTACAGTAGCTGTTGGATCTGTATGCTGCTGATCTGCTTACTTGGATCTCACCCTACAGTCTGAAGCATTTTAAACGCCGCCTCCTTTAGTATTTTGGATCAAGGATCACTATTGCAGAAGTAGAGGAGAGACCAAGCGTTGTGACCTTGACAGACATGAATCATGAATCAAAAGTTGATAATACAGCCCATGAAAATCTCAAACAGCTTCATGTGCAACTGCTTGAACTGAAAGATCAGAAAAAATCGCCATCAAGGACAAGTAAGCTGTGGCTGATGTTCATGGACTTTGTTTCCATTGTAAGGATGTTTATAAGAGCAGAGCGCACTGGGAACTGGCAGTTACATCTGAAAGCAACCAGCAGGAGGCATGTTACCCCTGTTTGCAGCATCTGGACACAACAACTATGCCAAATTCTGCACATTGTATCTTCAGGATTGTCTTTGTCTTTGCTTGTCTGAAAGTAATAATGGAAGCTGGTCTGTTTACAATCAGAAGAAACCCAAAGCAATTATGGAGTGACACTGAAGGAGAGACATAGTCATAGAGCAATGTCTAATCAGAGCAGGCAAAATTCAAAGAGACTTAATCAACATCACCCACAAGGATTCAGCATGAACCAAATAACTGCTCTCTGCACAAATATGACAGGGGATGACATTTGGAAAGGTGTTGAAGAAGGCATCACAAGTAGTCACATTTGATTTACCACCATGAAGAAGTGTGTCCGCCTATCAGACGGGGCACAGCCGAGGATGTCATCAATGGAGCTGTGTCAGCGATTACTATCAATAACTCTTGTGAGTGGTCCTCCATCTCCAGATGTCTTCTCATTTGAACTTGCAACAGTGTCACCAGCTTTCTTCCATGATGATGGATCCATGAGAAAATGCTTGGACAACGTACTGTGACTATGTGTCCCAGTCCACCCAGCTGTGAATGGGTTTCTCGTAAGGATGAGAAAGCCACATTAACTTTGTGCGCCTAAATGGCTGCAAGAGTTGTATGGTCCTCAGGGAGTTGAGGTTGAAAAATATGATGTGCCGTTGAGATTGACATCCTATGATCGAGGGAAAAACAACGCGCATTGCTGAGCTAAGCTGGATATTGGCGCTATACAAATATCATATAATAATAATAATAATAATAAATAAAATAAAAATAAGTTTGTGTGAATTTCTGTCTCAAGGACATTAGTTGTGCTTGCTCACTTGTATAGATTTTGCATTGCTGCTTTGTTATTTCATCTCTGTATATCTTCAATTGCTGGTATTTATGTTCTGATGACTTCTGTTGGGGTAAAAATCGCGGCCAACTCAGACCACAAGACAACTGGCAGTTACCGTTACCGTTCTAATAACGATTTTTCTGATCCATAATGTGCGCCTGCGTTTGTTTTCTTTTTTATGTCATAACAATCACTGTTGGTATCAACAACGAGAAGGTAATTTTACTCAAAATGTTAAAAAAGAATGTTTCTATTAGCGGCAGTGAAATCGTGTGTCCCTCAGATATTTAGAACTTCGGCCCGCATTATTCACAGCAATCACTATCATATTCTGTCTACTCACGCCTCGAAATAAAGTGTAACTGACAGAAAATGGATACATATACATATGTCATAATTAATGGAGCTTGCATTGACGATCACATGTGGAATGATACTGTCCAAAAATATTCAGTGTATTATGAGATTGCCAACAGCATCAGTCAGGTACAACAATGTATTTGATAGACAGGATTAACCAGAAGCAAACTGATGTCAAGAAAGGCAAACAGTTTTTGCATCTCGCTCCATTTCCTTCACACAGAGTTTTGATCCAAAACTCATTCAAACATTGCAAAAGATTGATGTCAGTGAATGTTTCTTATTGAAATGAGGCAATGTAAAGAGCAAGTTAATAAAATATAACAAAATTATTGAAACCATAAACCTTGAGATTCACGACCTCATGACAGTAGAGTCAATGGAAGCTGACCTTCTTGATTGTGATATGGCGGCCATCTTGAATTAAAAATGGCGGCCATTTTAAATTCAAGATGGCCGACATCGGTAAATAATTAAAATATTGTACATTTTGTTGAAAGTAGGCTTGTTTATAAATGGAAATACTAACCAGTATGAAGATAAACCAAATATTTGTTATGAACTATGTAGCCGTGACAAGCGCATTCATGCTGAAATGTGGGTGAAAGGACAATAGACCCCACCCCCAACACCATGCACAAAAAATATATTTCCCCAACCTTGACTTTCTTTGGGTTTTTTATGGTGACCAATAACACCCTTCTGGTCAGGTTCAACACAAATTTGGCCTGTTATCAGAAATGTCTAGGTTCAGTGCAGTTTCTACTGGCCTATATTACAGAACAGAGACAATTTTCTTATTCTTCTACGTTCTAATAGTACTTTCAAACCCGTTTCATAATATAGTGAATTAAAAGAAGAATTTTCGTGAAGTACTGTAATGATTCCAAGAGCTTCCATCTGGAGTCTTTCCAATTGTAAATTAATTCTTTTCCGCAGCCATCCCAGACTTCGCATGCGTACTCAAAGTGAGGTTTATGAAACTTGTGTCTATCTTTAGAAACGTATTTGTATTAAGAAGGTATAGATCATTTACGAGGTTTTGGAAACAATATCAGATACATGGGAGGACCATTTGCCGTTCGATGAGAGTATAATCCCCACGTGTTTATGATTTTCTGCTGTTTTAACAATCTCTTCAAATAATAAGTCAATCGAGCAAATATCATCTCTGTGTGAGAAATGTACTGATTCTGTTTTATCTGGAGTGTAGGATATCAACCACGTGTTTGCTCAATCATTTACCCTTTTGAGATTCTCGTATAATGTGTTTCCAATTCTGTACATGTTTCCAGAAGCCTTGTCTAATGCCGTGTCATCAGCAAATAGTCGCGTTAAGCAATGTAGATCGTCAGCATAACCATTTACGTCAACAGTGAATAGAAACGACCCCAACACAGATCACTGAGGACGCCAGCTTGGAGTTACCTCACAGTGCTACATTGACGAAGACTTTGATAACGATTAAATGTGTAATTAACACAATCACTCCAACTCCAGGCATACATTTAGTTACATTTGGCCCTCTGTGCCAAACTCGATCAAAAGCCTTTGAAACATCGCAAGACCACACAATATTGGTCTTTATCGTCAAGTGCTTGGCACATTTGATGACATATTTCAATTAATTGATGGACAGGTGAATTCTGAGCTTGAAAACCAGCTTGATATTTGTACAATATTTCGTTCTCGTTGAAATAGTTAGATATGTAATGCAACGCTCTCAAACTGTTTAATAACATAACCTGTAAATGTTCTATCACCTTTGTTGAAACACGCATTACATGCGCTAATGTCCATCCGAAAAGCAAACATAATGCTCCACTGAGAGAAGTATCCTTTAAGAGCTCATGACTCATTTTGTCGGGATCCGCAGCTTTAGTTAGTGGCAAGCATTTCCTTTTTATATTTGTTGTAAAGTCTAAAGTTGAATTTGTACGTCTATCAATCACGGAAGAACTATTCCTTGTCATTTAAGCACGAAATCAAGGCCAAGTAATCATTTGAAATGATATACCGACTGTATTCAACTATCAAGTTTTCTTGTGTTTATTTAGGATTTCATGTGCATGATTTGTAGAAATACTGTGTGGGTACGTGGGAGCCATCCACAGGGACAAATCTTCCACTGAAATTACCATACGCCTGTACTAAGGCCCCAAATAGGCCCGTATCACCACTATCATTTACAAGTTAAAACAATCTTGTTTTGGTCAGTTTTTATTGTTTCTTTGCTATCTCCCTAAGAGATGCCAAAACGTTAACAGTACGGGCTGCCTGTCCAGTGTCATATCATCTCCAGATATTAAGCATAATAAAATGTCCATAAAAAAAAAAATCAGTGTCAAATTACATTAATGACCAAAGGTTCGGTTAGTACAATTCAATCTAAGCAAAACAAAATACATTATCTTCTCACATAAAACCCCAGATAAAATACAAAATACGATATGGAATACGAAATATCAGATGAAATTATCATCAATAACATATCATGAAAAGTTTAGACAGTCACAAGCACCTTGGTGTGACATTATCTCAAGACACATAAGGAAAACATCATATCAACAATATCCTTTCAAATGCTTCAAAAATTGTTTCATCAGTGAGATAGCTTAAATATTGGTTATCTGGCACTTATTAGACTAACACTAGGGCATACCTCAGTTGTCTGTGACAGTGTCACTTCCAATAACACCAATACATTACGACTACTACAGTCTGAGACAGCTAGAACCGTGGCAGCATCAAGCAAATGGTCTGACTGTCGCAGCCGCTATTGCGAAACGGTTAACGTTGGGAAAAAGCCTTTATACTATGAGTAAAACACCCACTGAGCAGTCAGATGTAACTGACCATATACAACGCTCTGTCTCTGTATCTTGTTGTTGAGCAATTTGCATAAATATATACGTTTATAGACGCATGTGACCAGTGGAAGAATCTGCCCTCAGGAAAACGGAATAGTTTGTCAATATTTTCATTTGATACTTTCGCATCAGTCAACTCTGCATCACCAGTTATATACTGTAACTGTGGTAAGATATATATTGCACTCTAGATTGTGACAATTTCTACCTGTCTTGCGTTTACTAACCTGATAAATGTATACAATGAATAAACATAGTGATCTCGGCACAATCTCCTGATATATAATGCACATAACTGACGAAAGCACGTACATCCATTCATTCTCTGTATATAATTCACAGCATCCTCTTCCTCGTGTCCAGACACAGTGAATCCAATAACAGCAAACATCACCCGTGAGTTACGAGCATACACTGTACAACCATTGGATGGACTGAACCAACCCGTACATGTGTAAACACATCTCACTGCCAGGTACTAGCTGCAGATATGGAGACACTTGCCATGGAAACTGCTGATGACGCGGACGTCCAAGAGACACCGTCAACTGCAAGAGGGAACTGGTCGAACCAGCTGGACTATGTTGTGTCTGTGTTGGGTTGTATTGTCGGGTACGGCAACCTGTGGCGGTTCCCCTATATCTGTAACAGGAATGGTGGCGGTGAGTCTATTTCTTTCCATCTTTGCAATTTTTTGCCACGTAGTATTCCTTCATGGGGTATAAAGCATTTCGAACTCTGCCCTCCTCTGATAACTGAGCCTTCCACAATGACTCGTCAGTCCTGTCGTGTCTAAATAAAATGTTTGCATATTGAATTGGTCCACACCAGAGACACAAAACAGTAATCCGCCAGCTCAGATAGGTCAGAAATTTTTTCAAAACGTGTTTTCAAAATGTCAATTCTCAAAATGGTTTGAATGAAATTGTCCCATGTACATGTTTCTGGCAAAGCAAACTTATTCTTCACCGATATCCAGTTCGCCGATATCAAGTTCAAATGCTCAAAGGCGCTTTGTCTTTCCCCCGATCATTGGATGTCCATCACAACGGCACATCGTACAACTCTTGCAGCCTACTAGGCGCACCGAGTTAATGTGGCTTTCCCATCCTTACGAGGTACCCAATCACAGCTGGGTGGACTGGGACACATAGTCACAGTACTTTGTCCATGTTTACTGCACTTTGCTGTACCCGCAACTAGGTGTTTGCACGTATTCATGTGGCCACCATCTGGACATCTACCAACGGATTCATAGTTTCCTTTAAGTGCACAGGGTTGTGTACTTCACACTAGGGGTTGTGACAACACTGAAATATTCTGCACACAAAGTTGACTTCAAGGTTTTTACACCCGGTAACAGGTGGGCTCGATCCCGGCACCTCTAAGCTCGCTGGATTACTAGCCTGGCGCCTTAGACAGCTCGCCCACCGCGCACCTTTCCCGTTCCCTTTCAAAACCCTTTCCACATCCATAAGAAACGTGTGCGCCATTTATCGCCATTGGTTTAACAGACCGACTTCTGTCATCAACGTGACTAGTCTTCAATGTTGTGATCAGTCAATCACTGACTGTGCTAAGTTAAGACCTCTTGCCACACTGCTCTCACTTCCAATATGCCGTCACCGACATGGTAGATGCTTCATGTGCGGCAACACACTCACACGTTTCAGTGTAAATGTCCAATTGTGGCATGTTCAAGTACACGTCACAGGCCACCACGGGAATGGAATAATAGCGTTTTAAGTCCTTATACAATCATATTTCTCGGTTACCAAATAATATGGCCCCGAAATGTAATATCCCCTACTTTGTTGATATTATATCTGATTGGTGAGAATACCATGTGAGAAAATTGTTTATTCCTTAAGTTTCTTCTACCACTGACAACAGGTTTTAGATATATCATGGAGAGTGAATGTTTCTCAGAATATCGATTAGTAATTCAACGTTACTTATGGTTTTAGGGGCGTTCCTCATCCCGTTCCTTCTGTTACTTGTGACTTGTGGACTGCCACTCCTGTTTCTCGAGATTTCAATCGGTCAGTTCGCCGCCAGAAGTAATATGCACGTGTGGGACGTGTGTCCAATCTTTAAAGGTATTTCAAGCTGACTTATACTTTACACATATTTTTTATTATAAGCAATACTACAGTCATTTATTGAAATGTATTACTTCTTTGCAAAATAACTAACATTCCTACGTCCCATAGCTATTGCTCTGACTGTAAAAAAAGATTACTAATAGCATTTTCAGCTACTCAATAGTTTCGCTGTTCAAAAGCAAGCAATGTTGACATTTCTCATAATTACGCCAACAGGTATAGGCGTCGGTCAGTTCATTGCCTGCACAGGTGGATTAATCTACTACCAGACCATTATAGCCTGGTCAATCTACTACATGGTAATGTCATGTGCTTCCGTACTTCCCTGGTCAACGTGTGGCAATGAGTGGAACACAGAGTCTTGTCTGGAGGAAACCCTTGGCAATATTGCAGTCAACAGAACTGATGGTCAACCGTCCAACACAAACAGCATCATGAACGCAACGAGAGGGTCACAGTTTACTTTTGACCACACGGATGTGGGGGAATTCTGGCAGTAAGTAGACTTCCTGCAACCCAGTGACACTGTATGTTTACAACCTTCAACTGTGATACTAGCATCATCGATCATCGTGAAAAGGTAATGTTCACTAGTGTTCATCTTGAACTCAAGAGACAACCATCTATTTTCTGTATATACAATAAAACAACATAAATAATAACGGCTTTTGCTATGGTACATTAACATTTTAGTTTCATGGGCAAAATTTTGTACTTACTTTAAGTACGTGATTTACGCTTCATGCTACCCAGTGACACTGTACGTTCACAACCTTTAACTGTGATAAAAAGACAACAGATTACCCTAGCGTGAAAAAGCAATTTGCTAGTATGTTGTTTAACGCCGCACTGAGCAATATTCCAGCGAGGATTCCAGTGGTCAACGACATGAGATCCAATCTACACATTCGGGATACGATAACATGTTGGGTCAACCAAGTCAGCGAGCCTGACCACCCGATCTCGGTAGGCGCCTCTTACGAAAAGCATGGGTTGCTGAAGATCTATTCTATCCCCTGCCTTCACGAGGTCCAATGTAATTTGAAATAATGTACAGATTGAGTATAATTTGTTTCATCTCCAAGAAACAACACACTACTTCTATAAAATATGGAATAGAACTAGGTAATTATGAACATAAATTGCAGACGAATTCACAAATTTGTGACAGTCCATTAGGATTTACAGGTCATTTTCAGTATATTCTATTTCCAATGATTTAACTGGCGTCCAGTACATTTACTTAATTTACCACGGGAAGTTACATTTTCGCCGAGTTTTTTTCAATCTGCAGAAGAATCAATTTCAATCAGTCACATAGTATCATGTATTATAAAGTAAATTCCGACAACATATCTGCATGCATCCATGAATGTAGAAAACACAAATTATTTTCTTTGCAAACAACGTACAAATAATAACTTTGCAAAATGTTTACATGAAAACAAAAAGCAATTCTTTATGATACATACAATGTTTAAATATAAAACCTCCGTGTCAAAGAATTCGCAGTTTTAACTATTCTCAAAAACAGATGCCATTTGGTGTAAAGAAAAAATAGCGCTGAAAACAGTGAAATTGATCTATAGCCCCGGGGTAAGCACGTCCTACGTTACCTGTAGCACCCGACTTTCACACAGATTGCCTCATCAATATAAATATGCTCAGTGTGACGTCATGGTCTCTGACCTGAACATCATTTGTTAACTTTACACTGTGCACTTTACACTGTTACCACTGTGACAAGTGCAGAGATTACGCTGTCTAGGTTTTGCTATGGGTTCATTAAACTTTTTTGTACATGTATCATGGACAATATTTTGTACTTGCGGAATTTTAGTTGCACTTTTGATTAGTGTTTCAAACAGGATATTTCAATGAACGACATATCATCATGAATTATAGTGTGAATTCCCACAGCATATCTGCATGCACCTAAACAACATCCAAACAAACACCTAAATAATACCTTTGTGAAATGTTCACAGCTAAATACAGAGATGAGTGACTCTATGATACATAAACGTGTAAATATAGAGCAGTCTTCAGAAATAGATTCCATTCAGTGTAAAGATACATTAGCTGTGAAACTCCTATGAATGGAACAATGGAAATCAGCAGTGACACCACATGTTCGCGTAAGTGTAGCACGTCCTGCCGTAACGGTAGTCCCAGACATTCAGCAATTCCAATATCTACAAACAGACGCCATGGCAGCAATCATTCCATGCAACGCCAGCCTGTGAACAATCCAGACAATCACGTGATCCATCAACAAGGATATCCAGTTGTTAATTTGCAATTACGACCACTGTGTAAAGTGCAGAGATTCTGCTGCCTATGGATTTTGGAAATAGATTTGATATACAACACATTAGGTGTTTTTGTTGGGTCTTTTTAAGTATCGATGTAATCACTTCCTCTAGTCTTGAGGTTGACTGTTCTGAATGTTTCAGGTACAAGGCTCTAGGTGTGTCGGAAGGAGTTCAGGAAATTGGCCAAGTTCAGTGGCATCTGGTTGTGTGCCTGTTTGTGTTATGGATATTTGTGTTTGCGTCACTTATCAAAGGCATAAAGAGTGCAGGAAAGGTAGGCAACTTTGTTAAGTGGGTCATTAGTTATCAGAACATAATGAGAGAGAAGAACTTATCAAACATTTCATAGTAGTCCTGAGGATTACTTGTTGAAAATTCACCCATGACTCACAATTATGATGCAGAAATAGAAGCGACAAAACCATTTCCACATCCATTAGAAATCTCTGCTAAAAGCAGAATCGGTTGTACAATTGTGTATACACCATAGGTATAGAAGGCCAGTTGTACAATTGTGTATACACCACAGGTATAGAAGGTCAGTTGTACAATTGTGTATACACCACAGGTATAGAAGTATAGATTTGTTTCAGCAGTATTACAGCTGTACTATGTTGTTTGTAAACAAATCTAGTCCGGAGCAGACAATCCAGTGATTGTCACCATGCGATACAATGACAGAGCATGTGTTCATGAATCACTATGATGATACCAGGTGTTTGCGAAAAGTTGAGCGTATCCTTTTGTCATACAAATGTGATGCATGTACCATTTGATGCCTTGACAGGACAATGTGTTTGTGACGTGTGTTACCTGGCAACATCACAAGGATAGAGATTCATATCCACATGTTTATACTACAGACGAACAATGGAGTCACTGTAATTACTGAATAACATCTGTAAATCTAAAACAAACATAATGGTCACCTGAACGAAAATGTGGAACTGGAAATAATATGGGGTTGAGTGTGAAGAATGTAAAAGAAGATGAATATACAGTATTTAGAAAGTGCTCAAATGTAACATTTGTTATATTTGGGATTCCACTTTCTCACTGAAGACTACTTCCTAATGACACTGTGTATCACAGCTTGGGACTCAGTTCCCCCAAAAGTAGAATCCGTATTTTACTCAGAAAGAGTAATCCCAATATACATTCACATTATTGAGAAAGTGTAATCCCAAATATAACAAGTTGTATAAGAAGATGTCGGGTTTGATGTGAAGAATGTAAAAGAAGGCTTCACTTTGTAGTCACTGTGATGCGAAACTCAAATGTTACATAGAGTTAAAGGTGAAATGCCGACCCTGTCATACAGGTGGCCTATGTGTCTGTATTCCTCCCCTACCTGCTGCTGTGAAATGCCGACCCTTTTATACAGGTGGCCTATGTGTCTGTATTCCCCCCTACCTGCTGCTGTGAAATGCCGACCCTTTTATACAGGTGGCCTATGTGACTGTATTCCCCCTACCTGCTGCTGTGAAATGCCGACCTCGTTATACAGGTGGCCTATGTGACTCTGTATTCCCTCCTCCCCCTACCTGTTGCTGTGAAATGCCGACCCTGTTATACAGGTGGCCTATGTGTCTGTATTCCCCCCTACCTGCTGCTGTGAAATGCCGACCCTGTTATACAGGTGGCCTATGTGACTGTCTTCCTCCCCTACCTGTTGCTGTGAAATGCCGACCTTGTTATACAGGTGGCCTATGTGACCGTGTTCCTCCCCTACCTGCTGCTGTGAAATGCCGACCTTGTTATACAGGTGGCCTATGTGACCGTGTTCCTCCCCTACCTGTTGCTGTGAAATGCCGACCTTGTTATACAGGTGGCCTATGTGACCGTGTTCCTCCCCTACCTGTTGCTGTGAAATGCCGACCTTGTTATACAGGTGGCCTATGTGACCGTGTTCCTCCCCTACCTGTTGCTGTGAAATGCCGACCCTGTTATACAGGTGGCCTATGTGACCGTGTTCCTCCCCTACCTGCTGCTGTGAAATGCCGACCTTGTTATACAGGTGGTGAAATGCCGCCTATGTGTCACCGTGTTCCTCCCCTACCTGCTGCTGTGAAATGCCGAACTTGTTATACAGGTGGCCTATGTGACTGTATACCTCCCCTACCTGCTGCTGTGAAATGCCGACCTTGTTATACAGGTGGCCTATGTGACCGTGTTCCTCCCCTACCTGCTGCTGGTCGTCCTGCTGATCAGAACTCTGCTGGTGCCTGGAGCAGTGGATGGCATTGTCTTCTATCTGAAACCAGATCTCACCAGACTCCTGGATCTGCAGGTAGTCCACTACTTGTCTCTTGTTCGTCGATGGCCAGTTCTGATTTGATTTAAATATACAGGTTCTGAACACTGAAAGTAGAGTCTTTGTGACTTCGTTTTGATAGTAAGCACGAGTAACGACCCACCTATTCCCCTAACTTTCTTTTGTACCTGCCTAGAAACCTACCCATGCTATGATAATATGTGCGTCTAAATAGAGAATGTCAGTTGAAAAGAATACCCAGACTTGACCATCCCAAAACATCTCGGTAAAAGGGATATATAGCTGTGAAAGTTATACAAATGGATAACTCACAAAATCAAAATCCGTCACCCGGTATTGCATGGTTCTCGCACGCTGTCATTAATCAACTGCGATCATGGCACCCTCTACATTAATCATGTTGATGCTGACCTCACCCGTGTTTCAGGTGTGGCTGGAGGCTCTGTTACAGTTGTTCTACTCACTTGGTCCGGGCTGGGGTGTTATCGTTACGTTGGCCAGTTACAATAGATTTCATGACAACACTTTAAGGTACACTGACAAAGGCATCAATTACCTATTTCTATAACTCAGTTGATATTTTACATTTCATTTTCCGATTAAACTTATAATAATATCCTGCAATATTACACTGGTATACAGTAGGCCATGTTAATCATGTATTTTTATACAAGAAACTCTGCTGTGTTGACCTTCTGTGGCGAGGGTACAAGTCTGATCTCGGGCCTGGTCATCTTCACGGTTCTTGGGTTCATGGCCAACAGTGCTGGAGTTGGTGTTTCAGAAGTAGCATCTTCGGGTACGAAGTCTTCCTCAAGTAACGCCTCGGGGTGGGAAATCTTATTCATTGTGCTGGCTTCCTTAACGCTTAGATGCATCCAAGAAAATAAACATAATTAAAACACAATTATCATTTATTCATGACATATAATATACATTGCCAATTATGAAAAAACAAATAAACAAAATTATAAGCGTACAATCGCAAATCAAAAGTGCAATATTTTGTACTTGGGTTTACTACGCTCGAAGCGAAACACCCGGGATACCGCACCCAGTCAGAGAGGGTGGGCGAGCACTCAAGTGTAACATTGGGTGGTTCATTTGCCGATACCACCAGGGCTCTTTGTTTATGGCGTATAGCCTGATGGGTGTTAAGTTCAAATTAGATGTGGTCAATGATTGAAGCTGTGTTTTGTATATTGCCATTCGCAGACAGACAGGCAGACACATAGGTGTCAATAAAACAGACATTGTGTTTTGTCTGTGACCGAGGCTGCTTATCAAAATCATCATGGTTTTTTTTATATAACGAGTAGATTATTTACTTGTTTGTGTACACAACCAAGATTAGACTACTCCTGCTCACGACCTTATAATCCGGGCATCCCGCTTCAAGCTTCGCGAACGTATGCACTCCGCACTCCCCAGCTGGGGTGAAATTAGTGAAACGTTTGAACTCAGATTTCGCGTTTTTTTTTATCGTGTTATTTTTAACTTTATAGGGCGGTTAAAGCCTTGGCTCATCACGCCGAAGACCCGGGTTCGAATCCCCACATGGGTACATGTGTGAAGCCCATTTCTGGTGTCCCCCGCCACGATGTTGCTGGAATATTGCTAAAAGCGGCGTAAAACCAAACTCAGTCAGTTTAACTTTATAAGTTGAATTTGCATTTTTAATAATTTGTTAAGTTTTGCGTTGCATGTAAGCTTTAAGTCAGAACACATGTTGGCACCTAGACAGTTTTTATCTAATTGCATTTGATTGGCAGGTCCAGGCCTTGCATTCGTGGCGTACCCAGAAGGCCTGTCTCAACTTCCCCTGCCTCAACTCTGGTCCTTCCTGTTCTTCCTGATGATGCTGACAGTTGGATTGGACAGTCAGGTAAGGGAACAGTCATGCACAGGTGTACCATGATAGAGAGATAGATATTCAGTATGGATGGATAAAGTGAAGGGTAACCATTCATGGTATGGTTGATATGGTGGGATGAGGGGTGTTATCAGTTATCTTTTATGGTACTTACAATGAGAGTACCGTATTATACAATATAAACTCTGTCAAAAAAGAAACGCAACCCCTGTCCTCAGATATGAAAAATTCGTTTGAATGAAGTGATTGCTTCCAAACTAAAATTTATTCGAATGTATTGAAATGATACACGTAATTAATGAAGATTACCATCCAAACAACTGCATTTGTACGCATAAGTGTATTTTATTGCTTATTCCGTCACAACGCATGAAATGACCCTCATGGTGACTTCGCACAAAAAAAACACATGCAAATCATGAAAATGGCAGTTAATGTAGGGGTGTATAAAAGCCCATGTGCTTCCGTATTATATTCATTCATTTGTCGCCGAAAAGCTGTGTTAAAAATGCCACGATTGAGTGCTGCCGACCGAAATATCGCCATTGGTCGTGTTCAAGCCGGAGAAAGTTTGGAACTGTTGCACGGCACCTAAATGTTCACAAAACAACGATATCCCGACTTTGGAGCCGCTACAACAACTTCAATTTGACCAACGATCGCCCGAGAAGTGGAAGGCCAAGAATCACGACCCCCCTTCAAGATCGGTACATCCGGGTCCATCACCTGCGTAATCGGCATGCCCTACCAACCGTGACTGCCACACAAATACCAGGTTTGAGGAGAGTGTCAGCTCAAACGATTAGGAACCGTCTGAAAGAAGCGGGTTTACGTGCCTGTAGACCAGTTGTTGGACCTGTACTACGCCCCCTACATCGACGCCGACGACTCAGGTGGTGCAACAACGTAAGGATACGGACTTTACAAAACTGGAGGCGAATCTGGTTTTCTGATGAATCACGTTTTCTTTTGCAACGTCACGACGGAAGACAGCGTCTGTATAGGAGACGTCATAAACGTTTTGCGCCCATCTGCGTCCGACAGGTGGACAGATTTGGCGGAGAAGGCGTCATGGTTTGGGGAACCATCTCATACAACCAGAAATCAGACTTGGTGATCGTTCCAGGAACCTGACAGCCCAACGTTACATCAACCACGTGTTAGAGCTTCACCTTCTCCCGATTATTGACCAACAGACACAGATTTTTCAACGGGACAACGCCCGGCCTCATACTGCACGTGCAACAATGAACTTTCTGCAGAATTCCAACGTCAATGTCTTGCCATGACCCTCTAAATCACCAGACCTCAACCCTATTGAACACCTGTGGGATACTCTGGATCGACGCGTACGTCAACGTCAGCCGCCGCCACAGACGCTGCAACAGCTCGCCGTTGCACTGCAGGAGGAGTGGAGAGCCATTCCCCAGGAAAGAATCCGGCGTCTTATCCGTTCTTGTCCAAGGAGATGCCGTGCAGTGATTGCAGCGCGTGGTGCTCATACGAGATACTGAGGAAGACGCCCCCCTGGTGACAAACTGGTGTCTGTGAGATGACTTTTGAAATGACAATTTTAAACATGCCCATCTGGGTTATTATTCTGCCAAATTTCAGACTTCTGTCTTAAATAATAAAAATGCCGTGTCGTCCTAAAACTTCAGATCAAAATCTCTAAAATACAGGGGTTGCGTTTCTTTTTTGACAGAGTTTATTACAAAAAAACTCCCACTATGGAAAACTGTATGCCATGAAATACACGACATTACTAATTGCTGTGAAGACTAAGGAACCAGGTTTTACGATTAGGTGATCTTATCCCTCCATACATGTGTAAAGTAAAGTCAAAGTAAAGTAAAGTAAAGTCAATTGTTCTCCTGAAGAAACTCCTGGAACATATTGTACGGGAAACTAGTTGATGGCTGGGTGCTCACGAGTTAGTTTTCACTTTAACATAATGTGCAATACTGAACCCTCAGTTTAGTGAAGTAAGAAGTCATTCTAATAAGACGGTGTATTAATCCATATTGGATTTTATTAGTTCTGTTGTGGAGTTTGTTGGCCATTTGTTCAGATTAATCTTGAGTAAGAACAACATATGATTTAATATTTACCACTTGTTACATAAATACTCAAGAAACACATGCTTTACTTCACATTGCAATAGATAAATTTCTTGCCTTTAGCCTTCGAGGCGTTTGAGTAGCTCACAACTTTCCATTTTCTGTATGATAATGAAATTTCCTTTCTAACAATTGGTGTGGTAGGTCCTTTATTAGTTTAAAGTAGAGCAAATATGCGCCTTTAATGTTGAAGTCTGTTGAAAAATGATAAAATCCTTCACATTTTCTGTTTCACTTACAAAAGCAAAATACATACGTACATGAGACATATTTATTGTGTCATCTTGGAGGACTCAAACTGTCGGCTGTTGGTTATATCGTTCGTTTTTAGTGAGGCATAATCATGTGTTATGTCACTCCAAAAGTTATCCGTACATCTTTTGGTCATACTCAGAATTTGTCGTTTTTCAAATTTGAGAAGATTTATTATTCCTAGAATCTTAAACGGGACTCTAAGGTACACATATGCATAGACATAGTTTTTCACCTTTCTTTGATCCTAACAAAATCACCTTCAAAGTTAATATTTTATTCTTGCTCTAATTGCAAACTATTTAAAAACCTATCAGCGTTCAGCAACATCCAAACAAAAACCTATAGACAGGATGGATGATATTCGCACTTTATTTGACTCCACACGCCAAAAGTTCTTCACAGTTAATGTTTAGGGAATTATTTTTAAAAACATATGTCAAGTTTAAAAAATCCAGATTGAGTTCCTACGTATAAATATCTTGTGTAGGCAGTTGTCATCGTCCAGTTGCTGGCATGAAACCAAGAACTATTGCACCACTAGTGTGATGAATGGTAAATAAAAACAAGGATGTGCGATTTTACAAAAACATCTTTTGCATATTAATTGAAACGTTGTTATTCCATCCACCTCAAGATCATCAAAGTGCATGACAGGTCTTGTAAGGGAATCCTTGACTAAATAGGTCCCTGCCATATATCACTGTTGGCGACGAACTGGGTCGGTATTCCATGTCAGTCTGTATTGCATTGTAATTAAGTATTAGATACACGTGATCAAGCAGAAGGATGACTCAGGTCTATTCCCATCAGTGTAGTAATGGGAAAAGTGTAAAAACAAATGTTTTGTTCTGATAACCTGTTTCGCTATGTTTTAGACAATAATGACGTTAACAAAAGAGCTTTTAGACAGAAATGTATTTATACTGACAATCAAGCTTGGCTAATTAACTACTACTATAAAATTCCTCAATATTTGTATTCCATGGTTAAAGTTGGTGTTACTTATGAAATGTAATTATTGTGTGCCAATAAAGTCTCATCGAATAGCAAGGCATATTTTTACTATAGAATATCCCTCCTAATAATAGATTTGCCTTTTTGGCATTGCCTCTGTGATGGAAACTCCTGATCTTTTCTGTTTGGTGTGTCCTATATATTGATGCTTTAGGGAGTAGAGTCTCCAGTGGTACTCCTAGCAAAATATACCGATACCGTCAAATGAAACATTTTAGCATTTTAAAAAGGTAGGAGTACCTCGACTCTCGTGTATGATCACTAATCTAAAGATTTCAATGGAATTAACTTATTACAGTAGTGAATGGTGGACCCAATACTGAATTAACTCAGCTCAACTCGACCGTCAATGATTCATTCACATAATGCTCAGTACTACACTTTTACACGCAGTTAAATCTATTTGAGGGGTACTCGAGACTGACTCGTCTTTAGCGTTGACGATTTATTGAAGATCTCTCGATCATCCCGGTGAGTACAAAACCATCCAGGAGACATCGTTAAGCGTCGTTGTATTTGTTGCAGTTTGCGTGGATGGAGACGGTGATAACCAACGTAATCAACCAGTTCCCAGCAGTGCTACGGAAGCGGCGGATTCTGGTCACAGCAGTGTCCTGTACAGCCAGCTTTCTGCTTGGTCTGCCCTTCGTCACAAATGTGAACATTAGTTAAAGTTTTCTGTCAAAGTACCTGTTGTTTATGAAAATATGACTCAAACGGATTTATTCAGTAGTCATGTGATTAAATCGTAAGAAAAAGACCAAACGCGCAATAGAAGGATTAAAGAAGTTCTTCCAGAGGTTTCATGCCTTCATGTTCATGCAAATTCAATGGAAAACTGGCTGAATCCTCGAGTTGTTCTTGCATTGTATCATGTATACTTTTGAATATCTGTTATTCCGATCATGAAATATGTCCGATAAATCGGCATATATGAGATCTTTAACTCCACGATTGAAAGATTGTCTTTAGTCTTAAAACAGAAACTGATTTTGTTAACGCCTCATTGAATACTTATATTTAATTTTCCAGGGAGGAATATTTTATTTTCAACTCGCTGACTGGTACATAGGTGCTTTGTGTGCAATTTTGTTTGCAATTCTGGAGTGCATAATTTTCAGTTGGATTTACGGTAAGATAAGATAAGATCTAACAATGAATATACTAAGTAAATAATGTTTAAAAGTGTTTAAAAAAGTATATGCTAACTGGTATAAAAGAGTGCTTGCTTCTCTTTGACTTTACATTTGGTAAAAGATACCTACGGCGAGATGTATAACAAGGGTTTAAAACATGGGTTGGGTCTTGTAAAATTCTGACAGAGAGAATTTCTTTAATTTGTTTTTGAAGCGACAGAGGTCCATACCAACACTGCAAAGAAAAAGTTCAAATGGATTGAATACATGATTTGTAAAACAAAGACATAAAAGTCGGATCAACATAGCATGGGTGATAGTACACAGCCTTGGAGAGCTCCTGTGTTTGTGATGGTTGACTTAGAGCGCACGCAGTTAACTTATACACATTGTTCTCTGTGCAGTAGAAACGATGCTATCCATCTTATGAGTTGTGGGCATATATCCAGATCAGTTAGCTTCTTGATGAGTATATGAGGTTGGATGGTATTGAAGGCCGAGGAGAAGTCTACTACTAAAGTGCGTGCATAAGCTCCAGTATTTTCGAGATGTTGATGGATGTTGTGTAACAGGGTGATTGTAGCGTCTTCAACTCCCCCGCCTGGCTCGATACGCAAACTGTAAAGGATCGAGTTTGTCATTGACTTGATTGGAGAGGATACAGAGAACAATACGCTCGAAGAACTTCATGAGTACTGACGTAAGAGCGATAGGTCTGAAGTCGTTGTTAACAGTTGGCTTGGGTTTGTTTTGTACTGGTATCACCTCAGACAGTTTCCAGGCTTTAGGGATGATCTGTTTATCCTGTGAAAGTTGGAAACTCTTGCAAAACACAGGACTAAGTTGATCTCTACACTCTTTTAATAGCATGCCGCTCAGACCGTTCTGAAGACTTCCGCATATTTAATTGTCCAAATCGAAAGTTTACGTCCTCTTCTGTCAGAGAAGGACTGTTGTCACTGTCACACAAATTAGATAAAAGTTCATTCATTTCATTAGAGAAGTCAAGGAGGTCAAACCGAGAGTAAAACGTATTCAATTGTTGGGAAAGTCCGACTCTTCTCCACAAACACTGACCTGTCTGCGACGCTCAGTTCCAATGATAGTGTTTAGACCCTCCCAAGCCTGGCGGGAGATATTTCGCTTGAATTCCTCTTCAACTTTTGCCTTTAAATCCTGTTTACACTGTCGTACCTTGGCGTTGATTGACTTCTGAATTGCATTCAATATCTGTCTATCGTTGGCACAGAAATCACGCTTTTTCCTCATTCAGGAGTGATTTCAATTCCTTACTGACCCCGGGTTTATTGTTAGGGTAGATTTTGATTTCACGGGTCGGAATGACACTGTCCACACAGAAGGTTATGTAAGCTGTGATTATATCATTGAGTTCACATGGGTCCCTGTTTTGAGCTTCTGCCTATATTTGGGAATGAGAAAGACACTGTTGTGGTCTGACGCGCCAAGAGGTGCTTTACTAATTGCTGTATATGCCTGCTTAATGTTACCGTAACACAAATCGAGAGTTTTATATCGTCTGGTAGCACATTGTACATACTGGTGATAATGAGGTAGAGTCTTTTAGGGTGCTGGCGTTGAAATCCCCGAGTATCAATTAGGGCGTCTGGAGAGATGTTCTTGAGACTCCGATCATGGTTATGGATGTAATCTGAAGCTGTCTTGTTGTTGGCGCTCGGTGGTATATACACCGCGGTGACAAATATCTGACCAAAACTCTCGGGGAAGACAGTTTGGTCTTAGTGAAACGCACAACAGATAGATGTCTGGCGAGCAATAGGTTTCACGTTGCACAATGTTCTTACACCAGTTACTCTTCACATACAGGCAAACACCACCTCCAATAGACTTTCCAAGAAGTTCACTGTCTCTGTCTAATCTGATTGGGCATCCGAACCCAGAGAGTTCTAAAATGTTGTTAGGAATTGTTTCATTTAGCCAGGTTTCTGTAAAACACAGCATGCAACTGTCTCGATATTCAAACGTGTAGTTCACACGGGCAGAAAGTTCAGTGAGTTTGTTCCTGAGAGATCGGACGTTAGATAGCAATATTGTGGGCAGTGGAGGACCGTCGGGTCGGGATCGAAGCCGACGTCTGGCACCTCCCCTCTTACCTCGTTTGTGAGCTTTGCTGGATTTCCTTGAATTATTTTTATGACAGTCCAAGGGTATATCCGTTTGAAGAACACTGATATCCGTGAAACTCCTGAGGGAGAGTAAATCTTCACGTCCGAATTGACAAAACACAACGAAATAAGGGTATCTGAACAAAATATATAGCACAAAAGTACATCAGTAGCTTCCACATGTTGTTTTAGAGTGTCTACTATGCAAACATATCACAGATCACACACGAACATCACACAACACACATAATAGACGAGAGCTAACTCTGATGTGTGTCGCCACAGCGCAGCGCCAATCACAGATTGTCTATATGATTAATATTCTGCATATAGAGTAACCTGCAAAAAGTTATAATATGTAACATATGTGTTGCTTGGTTTACACTTCTCAAAATGTACAGATTTTAGTGCTTCTTGAACTCTACCTTGTGCTTTTTTGGATTCTACCCTGATGATACTCAACCTCACAGGAACTAACATCCGTACATTCCTTAGAAAATGTAATTCCATATCTAAAATGTGCTACACTGATAATATGGTTGTAGTTTCAAGTTCATTAATTTAAAGTGCTATTCTCATTCTAAAGAGCTTTGAAAAACACTGATCTTTTATGCATAGAAAATATACAAAATATACACACATACAAAGACATTATCCGTTTGTCAGGTTCCAGGAGATTCAGTAATGACGTGCGGCTGATGCTGGGCAGGGGAGTTCCCCGGTTCTTCTCCATCATGCTGGCCTATGTTACACCGTGCCTCCTTACCGTGAGTCAAACAACCCATTTATTCTTACTTTAAAGGATACCAATTCTGTCTGCAGCTCTGACGAGTGATACATGTTTTGTTTATACATTAATAATTCCAACCATTCTCATCTGATCCTGATATCATTGCAGATCTCCTTGTTCCTGGTTCTGTGGCGGTTCCAACCATTCTCATCTGATACTGATATCGTTGCAGATCGCCTTGTTCTTGGTTCTGTGGCGGTTCCAACCCCCGACCTATGGTGCCTATCAGTACCCCTGGGTGTGTCAGGTAGCAGGGTGGATCTTAGCCTCCATGTCTGTCATCCCTGTACCTGTCATGGCGGCCGTCACCTTGCTCAAGGCCAAAGGATCGTTCCTGGAAGTAGGCCACATTACAAGTGTCTGATACATGTTATGCATGCAGCCCATGTTAAGTAAACAATAACGCAATAATTACATGCAATCAACTCTTATGAAGCTGTTGTTTCAGTAACTAGATTCTTCCTTACTTTGATGGGTTCAACAAACGTATCACCAGCCAATCAGATACGATGGTTACATGATGCGTTATGGTAATAATGTTTTCTTCCATTAGATTATCTTGAATCATGCGTATCATTGCATTGTATATTCCAGAGACTGAAGGCGAGTTGTCGGCCGACCGAGTCATGGGGCCCGTCCTTGACGCAACATTGGGACGTGTACAGGGAACGCCCTGGCATCAGAAATGACTGTTCTTGTCTGAATCCCTGCAGACGCTAGTTTCCTGTCAGGCTGAGCTGTGAACGCACAAATTTATCAAAGCATTGCAAACTTGTAAAATATGTGACGTAACTGTTTAACTTTGCTGATTAACTCGATGAAAGTTATCTTTCTTTATATTGTCTGATATTTTCCGAGATCATTGGTTGACCTGTAGCAATGCGCAGTTCACATAACCATCCTTGTGTTTCCTGGTGTCATGGTAACACCTTGTACTTTGTAACAAACGTGTGATTAAAATACATCAATAATAAGTTGTACCATCTAAACCATGGACACTGATTACTGAGAAGACGGCGTCCTTGTTCTGTCATGAACATTAAAGAGCACAACATTCTATCAATGCGGCACATTTTATGATAGAGCACTTACAGGTGGACAACAGGTTTTTAATTTTTAAGATTTGTCCATTTACAATAATAGTATTTAATATAAACTAAACCACATTATTGGGTATGAAATATTTTTTGGGAAAAGCAGATATGTGTCGAAAGTTGGATTACCCTTTAATATTTTATAATAAATGCCTTTAGAGGTACTGTATATAGTTCCATTCCACTTTTGTATAAAGTACAGTCCGTTGGCTCAAAAGCGGACCGATGAATTGCAATCTAACTCGAAAACTAATAAACATAACATACTCAATGAAACGCTGATCATAATCAAAACATCATACCAACTCTGTGAGGTTTTTGCAGAATTTTGGTCCTAAAAACAATAAAGTTGTTTAACAAACCATCATTAAAATATTGACACAGTTCACTGTTTGTTACGAGGGAGGAGTGCAGAGAAAGGGACAGACAGGTGTTCGAGAAGCACGTTCACAGACAAAGTTATTTATTCATTAACCTGTGCTGTGCCGTCTCCAGCCGTGTGGATTGACGGAGCCCAGCTGCCAGTTTTAATAATTCTAAGTGGGCCTTTTCAAAATTATTAATATTTTCATACCCCCATATTTGGGACCCGTATAAAGCAATGGGTAATCCCAAAACATCGAGGCGTCTAAGAAGAGTATCTAGGGCTAGGTTTCAATTACGAGATTTCTTTAAGAGCGCAAACATTGCGTTTTTAGAATTTGATGATAAATTATTAATCGTAAAATTAAGTCTGCTGTATGTTATGAAAAATAATGCCTAGGTATACACAATTATCAACAATTTCAATAGGTTGCGAACCAAATCGAAAAAAATAGTTTAGAATTTTGTTGTCGAGAACCTCCGCCAAAAAGTATTTTTTTAGTTATTGATGTGTTTACCGTAAGTTTCCAACAATAACAATAATCTTTAAATACATCCAACGAATAGTGCAGATATTTCATACTGTCTCCCAGAATGATCGTATCATCGTCATACAATAAAATAAACATTTAGATACACATGAATTTATAATTCATCATGTGCACAATTGACATTTATACCTTTGCACCCCTGGCTTCCAGGTATAAGTCTAGATCATTGAGAAATAATGGAAATAGTAATGGTGATAAGGCTTCCCCTTGCCGAACTCCAGAATAACTAAAAAGGAAATTAGAACTTTGGTTTTTAACCATAACTGATGATTTGATGTTACTGTAATATTTTTGACTAATTTACTCATTATATGTTATGTACAAATATATGGTTACATCGAAGATGAATTTCTCAACTAACTTGGGGTAACCAACTGCAAATCTTATGCAGATGAATTGCACGAGGATCATGCATGAAATTTCTGAAAAGCATGTGCAAATATCGTGCATGTGAACAGCGGCGTTTTTGTGTAAGGTTTTGTTCAGAATTCGCCAATTTTCACTGAGTTTCATCATTTATTGAACTCATGACAATATTTTTTTCAACATTACGAATTTGTTTTACAATACATCAGTTCATGTGTAAACAATACCTTTAAACAGTATTGAATATTTTGCAAAAGCTATTTTAGAACAGTTGACTGAAGTAAGTGGCTACATTTACACTAGTGAGTCTAAACTTTTGATGGGAAGTATATATTATACGTTAACATTTTTTCCAAAGACCTCCAAAAAATATCAAAAGCTTTAGTAAAATCAATAAATGCACAGTATAATTTTCTTTTCGATATCTTGAATTAACATTTGTAATATGAAAATGTTATCTTGACTTGACATTTTCTTTCTGAAATCTGCTTGAGCATTCATTTCCAGATACCTATTGAGTCTAGATTTCAAAATACTGGTAAACAGTTTCCCGAGACAACTAAGAATGATAATTGGCCGGTATGAGTTCGGATTAGAAGGGTTCCCCTTTTTCTTATAATAGGCCGAATGACCCCGGTTAAACAAGGCTTCGGGCATAATGCTAGATGAAAAATCAAATTAAAATACGAAACATAAAAGACAAATAGAATATCTAAAGTGTCAATCAAATAGTTATTTTCAATCTGATCTATACCTGCTGATTTGTTACGATTTAATCTATTTATCGCTGAGGCTATGTCTTCCGCAGTAAGCAGTATCATCAATGGCATTTACATCATCGTGTATACTGCTCTTGACCAGGCTCACGATACTGCTTCAGGGGCTGATAACATACATTATCAACTCCTGAAGCACTTACCTGAATCATGTTTAGAGACGCTCTTACATATTTTTGATGACATTTGGACATCTGGAAATTTTCCTTCGTCGGGGCGGGACGGTATTATTGTTCCCATACCTAAACCTGGACGTGATCATACTGATCCCTCTAATTATAGACCAATTTCACTGACTAGCTGCGTTTGCAAAACCATGGAACGTATGATCAATAATCGACTTGTTTGGTACTTGGAAACCAATACCCTTATAACTAATATACAATGTGGTTTCCGTAAAAACCATAGTACCATCGATCATTTAGTACGTTTAGAGTCTTTTGTGAAAAATGCCATAATTAATAAACAACATGCAGTGTCGATCTTTTTCGATTAAGAAAAGGCATACGACACGACATGGAAACATGGGATTTTAAAAGATTTACATGACTTTGGATTAACGGGCCGTTTGCCTCAATTTATATCCAACTTTTTAAATGACAGGCAATTTCAAGTACGAGTGGGTTCAACCGTGTCTGACCATTATGTCGCGGGTTCTGGTCTTGAGATGTCCCAAGGACAATAATTGATGAGACGGGGAACGTCGCTTAAGATATGCACCAGTTTATTGCCTGTGAAATACGAACATTACAACATGAGAAATATGTTGTATGCGTCCGACATGGTCGGATGGTGACATGAAAGTGTCGTATATATCTTATATGAATACATCGGCAATAAACAATACAATTATAGATATAAGATTGGTATATAATAGTTATGCTATAATTGAATAATTGATAAAATATATATGACGTCACGCATAAGCGTTTCGTCCGGGATATTTACAATTGATGTGACGTCACGCATTAGCGATCAGTCAAAATTATATACAACTGATGATTTAGTATACTGTAGACATAAAATCATAATTATTGATCATTCACACACTGTCTTACATGCAATGCTAGTGCTTTAAGTTAGTAAGTGATCCACGCGAGAGAAAGTTTACATTACGCGGTCGCGATTAATTACTAACTTAAGATATATGTTATTACTATGTTGATGATAATAATATGTATACTAGCAATGATATAGATGTAGAAAGAATATATGTAGAGAGCGTGCTTACCTGTGAAATACGAACATTACAACATGAGAAAGATGTTGTATGCGTCCGACATGGTCGGATGGTGACATGAAAGTGTCACACGTCACAGGCATGAAACGCACGAGATTTGGCGGGTTAGCCAAATACGGGTGGCACGTACAACTCTCTACATATAGCCAGTGGAGAAGCAGCCCTCTAGTGAAATAAAAGGGAAATAGAAGGCTGTCGGCGACATATTCCCCCCCTTTGGAAAATGGTGTCCTCAACATTTATAGAACAAAGGACATGGTCAACAATGAGAGAGGAAAATGACCAAACAGGGATATTGATGAAAATATCCCCAACTGAATTAGTTAAGCTTTTAATGACATGTATGCTTTTGAAAGGAACACCAAATAACGGAAAACAAAACACCTGGTACTCCTATGAAAGCTCGTAAGGTTTCAATGATCAGGAAATCATTGAAAGAAACTGACAAACCAACTGAACAAACCAACTAAACTATGTACAAGAACTTCAAACAAAAACTTCTTCCTCTTCCGCTTCGTTACGAACGACGGCCCCGAAGTTTGTCACCCACTGATCACTCTGCATCCAGGCTGGACGGGTTCTGAGTCGGGTAGGCCTCCCCGACTCCAGAGCGTCCATCTGGGCAGGTGATGCAGGTTGAACGCTGATGACAGGAGGGGTTGCATCTTCTGGTTCCACAGCAGTACTTGAGGGCGGCGTTGAAGTCGACCTTTCCGGAACGGAAATGCTGGCAGGAGGGATAACTGTATCAGCTGCTGGCTCTGTGGTCTCTGGCTGGCTTCCAGAAGATCCTGACGGTGGACGAGAAGCATTAGCAGCACTTGGAATCAAATTCGTGGCTCTGGTTTGACTCCTCAGTCTGGGCAGCAGTATGATCTCCTCTTCATCCTGACTGTCTTCTTTGGATCTGTCTGAAGCTTGAAACTCCTTCACTCGAAGTGATACCGATTTCTTGCTTCTTCTAGACTGGCGTCGTTCTGTCCTGGACGTGTCTTGTTGGAGGGAAACAGATTCCAGTGGAAGGAGCATGTTGCGGTGGAGAGTCTTCATTGGCCCCTGGCCACTCTCTTGCTTCAAAGTGTAGACGGGAATGTCCTCGTTGGGTTGTTTCACAATGACATAGACGTTTTTCCCCCACTTGTTGGCAAGCTTGTTCCTTTCTGTAAGTCCGACAAGCCGCACCAGAACACGATCATTTGGTTGTAGAAAGGACTCTCTCACTTTCTTGTCGTAATGTTGTTTGTAGCGTTGTCCTGCCTTCCTAGATTCCTTGGAGGCTATGTTGTACGCAAACTGTAGCCGCTTCTTGAGGTTGTTAGCGTACTGAGTA